GATATTAGACGCGGATCAAGTGAAAATAACTTGTGCCGTTTCCTGTTCGCGCACACGTGTGCCGGCTAATAAACAGGTGCGTAATGAGTAAGGATCGAACTTGTCGGATAACCGGCATAACTACATTACGAACCTTCGAGCGTTCTAATCGCGGCATCGTAAAACGCCGCTATCACATAAAAGCGTCACTTTCTCCGTTTTATTAATTAAGATCAGCTTTTTTAACCTTTTCTAACTTCTAAAGAGGATGCTGCCGTAACCGAGCTACATTCAATTTCCTGCCTAAGAACAACTATAAATCATTAAAATGAAACGCATATCTATTTTCAATTATGCCGAATTATCGAACGAGATATTAAAATTTTATTATTGTAATAATGTAAGGTAAATTATATATATACTAAACATATATAAAAATCTTTTTACTTGAATATTTTTTTGGCATGATATGTTGTAGTTTTTTGATTGATTCGTGTTATCGTTGTATGTATATACTGAAGATATAAATTGCAAATTAAAAGCTAAAACGCACAAATTGTAATTAATTATTTCTAATAGAAAATTAAAATTTAGAATTATAAATATATAAAATACCAAAATTACATTCAAATTATTGTACTGATCTCATTGTTAGAGCAATACATTTTCTTTTTGAATGATTTGATCAAAATTTTGAAGATGCTTTATTAACAAATAAAAATTTTTTTAACATAACTAATGATAGCGATTATCTCATAATCATTACGAAATGATCTCAAGAAGAGATGATCGATACCGCACGCTGCTTCGCTCGAGAATCGAAAGCGAATCTTAGCGTTTGCGGGTCGAGAGAAATCAGCGACCTTTAAATATACCTCACACATGTCGATCAGCCGAAAAAAAATAAATTTTGCGAAAACTATACGATATCCCTCTACTATATTTATGGCCGCTATAAAAGCATACTTTGCATCGCATTAAAGAGTACATGTGTAGGCTTTTATTAGACTTGTAGAGTCTACAGAGACTATAAAAAAAAAAAAAAACGTTATGCAAAAATTTGCAAAAATCTATAAAAGATAAAACTGCGTATTTTATCTGCAAAAAAAATTATGAGAAAAATTAAAGTAAAAATCGATAAGAAATGAAAAAAGAGATATAAAATAAAATCTATATTTCAAAAATAATTTTACATATACATATACTCTAATTCGTCGATAATAGCCTTTTCGTCACCAGAACAGCATGAGGTAACCATGCAACTAATTAAATGTCTGCAGAAATAACAAATGCCCTTGTATTTTACACGCCAATATATTTCAAGATACTTGAAATACCTTTGCAGATAGCCGCAGAGATTAGACGAAGATTTACAAGCGCGTTTTAACACTCTAACCATCAAGACAAACACGAGATTTTGTCTCGGACAACATTCTAATCGTTGCGCAGCAAAATACTAATACTTCATATCAAAATGTGAATTTTACCAATGGAAAAACCACAAACGATGGTTAACCTATATTATGTATTTTCGATTCCATTACAAGAGAATAAAGACTCCAATATATTTCTCTAAAAAATTCTAAATTATTAAACTAGGAATATATATAACACATTCTTTAAACGTCTAATATATTTCTCTACATTTTCTAGTATAGTAAGTAATAAACTTGTTCGTATCTCTGTTAAACATTCGTATATATTATAAGCCCACGAAAAATATTTCCTTCGGTAAAGAATTAAAAATTAATTGAATCAATTAATTGGTCACATATTTCGAAACAGAAAGATCTTTATGATACTTGTGCTGATAACAGCAACATCGAAAAAAATCATAATAAATTGTTTTCTACGCTCGTAGATATGTAAACGTAGATATTATCGGATGTAATTACGACGTAAATCACGAATACCACTTATCGCGCGATCGTCGAAGGATCTTGCTGAAAACTCCTCAGTGCAACGGTACGTGTTCGCGGTATTAGCAATAATATTAGCGATTATCATTTCGTGTCATACACAGACGCGCGCTGTTTGTGGGGAACTTCCTTTAACTCTACGCGGTTGCATATCGGCATTTAAGTAACCGCGAACTTTTACTCTTATGATCGCAAATGTGTCGGAGCGTATAGCCGCATCGCACGATTATATGTACGTTTATAGTTACGGGTGGACTGCAAAACTGCATTCTACTTTAAGTACCCGTACATATAGCTGATGCCGTTAATTCTCTTCTATTGATCATTTTTATTACAATTGCATTAGTTATTATTCGTTATATATGGCATTATCACGTTACAGATACAAATTAATTATCGTCTATAAATAGCATTTTTTTATAAAGTATATAATCTTTAAAATTCATATTACTTATTTTATTAAATAATTTATATAAATTGGAAAAAATGACATAGCTGTGTTTGAGCTATGAGCAATTGCTGTGGGCAAATGAATGGATTAAGTGTTTAATGTCTAACAAAATTAATTAAACATTTAAAAAAAAAAAAGAGATATAATTTATATTAAAGCTCACGTTTGTATTATAAGTTCAGTGCGTGGGAAGTCGTTTGTAACTATCTCTGGCAATTTTTCTTTGAGAAATAAAAATAAATTTTTATTTCATCGATATTATCTCGGAATTTATAAAACGTTTTTTTTTTATCGTTCAAATGATGTAAATTTAAATGCCAAAAAGCGATGTTATCATAAAAATATTGGAGTTTGAAAAATAAGAACTACATATCACTCTGTTTCAATTACTTCATTTAAGCTCTTAAAATGTCATTCAAATACTCTTAGAAATTTTCAAATAATCTACAAACTCCTAAAGCATCACCAGATAAACAGAGATTTTTCTGTAAAGAATAAATAAAATAGAACAGAGTTAAAAAAATAGCGCACATGTGTGACAGAGATCCGTGTAACCAGCGCTTTGCGAGAAAAGAAAAGTTGTTATACGCAACTGCCAATAATCGGGCACGTGAGCGTCGATAATACATTTATATACGCCATAAACTCGGATCGATTTACATTCGCTGCTCGACCCACGCTAAATCATCGACCCAGTTACGAGATCCGAGAACGAGACAGACACGTCGCGAATCGCAACGGGAAAGAGAGAGAAAAAAAAAGATAGGTCGTTCGTCACTTTGCGCGCAATAGAAAGCATCGGTCATCGATCACGCTTTCTTTCTTACAACCGATTACGTATAAAAAGGCGTCGAGGTTCAATGAACTGCATGTACGCGGATGCGACTCCGCCGCGCTTCTTTCCCGAGAGATCGAGCATGTATCCGGCACTTCCTTCATTGTGATTGTGGCGGAAAGGCGCGGGAAAGATATTGGGAGACTGAATATTTATTTCCCTTCTTGTGATGATGGTTAGATAAAACGTTTTCCCTCGCGTGCATTACGGAAAAGAGCAAGTATGAAAACGACGTTAGGAGCATTAATATACATCCACAATGTTTTATATTTTCGCGATGTATATAAAATAATTTTATAAAAAATTCATTTAAAATAATAATAATAATAATAAAGATTTTATTATTCTTGGCATTTACAATCTCTTTTTTATAATGTATAATTTTATATATTTTTGTGTGTCTACTTGCAAAAAAAAATCTATTAATTACATATATCAAAATTTTGAAAACAAGATGTTTATCGCAAAGATAATGATACGAAAGCGGTACGAATTAGCAAACCGCGAGACAAGAACGAGACATGCAGAATTTTCCTGCATTAAATACCGGTAACACCTATTTCTGTAATGCTAATAGATGTGTAGCATTTATACTCGAAGAGTATAATATACCAGTATATTAATCGCCGAAGTCTATAACGCCTTTCGATTTCTACCTTGGAATTTGGTGCAAAAATTCCGTGCCGGTGCTCGAAAGAGCAATAGCTTCCTGATTAAAATTTATGCTCGTATTTCTTTGCAATGTCAACGGCAACCAAGTGTGAAGTTATGAAAATGATACTCCATCGATCGATGCTATTTATAATTATATCGGAAGCACTTTCACAATTTATAGCAGATATTTCATAACAGAATTTGAAAATAAAAGAATTATATTGTATTATAGTACATAAATAGCATATAATAATACGTTTTAATCTTGAGATATATATTTTTTGAGTAGATTGTATATTTTAAAGAATTAAATTAATTTGTATAGCAATCAATATACAAAATCGCTATTCTGACAAGTATTAAATCTTATGTAGGTTATTATCGTGATCTTACAATAGTTTATATGCCATTTATTTTACTATTATTAATAAATCACAATAAATATCAGCTCTATTAAATGTATTAATCTGATACTTATGATGTATATATATCATATTTATATATTATATCGTTGTATTTCTCATCTGGTATATTTCTCATTATGAAAAAATATTTCAATCACTGCAACAAATTGATCAAGATATCGATTTTATTTCTATTTTGCATATCGATTATTCCCATTTTTGCTAGATAAAGTTATTGAAAGATAATTTATTTATACATTTAGAAGGATTTTAAAGAAGTTGCGATTCATTTCTTCTAATTTTTAAATACAACACAGAAATAAAATTTCATGCGAAAATGAGAAGAGTTCGTACAATTTTTGATACAAAATTTTAAAAAAATATTAAATCTGTATAAATATTTTCTAAAATTCTCTAAATATTTACATATAATATCGATAATATTATATGATATATATATATA